CCGTGTTAGGGATGGGTAGGAAGGCATGGAATTTTGTATTTATTCTGCGCACTGATGGTTTGACTTGCAGATCCACCGGAAAAGGGCTTTAGTTTGACTTCCGAGTCAGTGGTAAAGAAAATATCAATTATTTGATCAGCCGCCTGACTGGATTCTAGAGCGCGATTGGCGGTGCACTGGACGACGAACCTGGAGCTCGACTACTCGATTCCGCCTGGCCACATACGCCTGTTGACTGAGTCAGTTTCGCAGTCCGCACAGGCTGTCTGAACTAGTGATTGCCCCAGCTAAAAGTTAAGGACTTTCCTATGGATGTCCTCAATCTAGCAAAGCGATTTACGGAATACGAAAATAAGCCATACATGTTTAAATATGTTGGACAGCATATATGGACTAATGAAAGGGAAGACGTAGAGATATTGCTTTCCCTATATTCTGTAGAGCCTATGTGCCTCATTTTTAAGAAGTCTCGCTGTTTAATAGATGAAACTCAAGCGAAAAGATCGGCTTCAGCATCTCCACTTGGTTGAACAGATTCTACATTTGATTCAGAATGAAAGAATGTATGTAAGCTTTACTAACTGGGCATCCAAGTTCGGATTTAGAGACGCCTCATCCGTACAAGGTATTTTGCAGCCGCATTGGTAATTAAACAGGCCAAAGTGAGAGACCGGTCTACAAATTCAGGGCACATAATTAGGTTCATAAAACCGAGATTAAATGCCGCGGGCTCAGTCACACTCTGCTACTATAATCAAACCACGAAGTCCGACCATCGTAAATCGGGGATAGTGCCTATTTCCAACTGACTCGCTTCTTAACCTGGGACAAATAAGGCATTTTGGTAGGGCATTCTCATCAAAGCACTGATGCCGGAGTTCCAGTTGAGCGTAAATGGACGGTTCTCATTTCTCAAAGGTCTCCCATCTGCGTGGACAACGCAGGGCTGCAAGCCCACTGCATAAAGCAAAATGCGCGAAGATTCGGGGTCCAGATATTTTATCGCGTTCAACGTCCCCCCTGCAGAAGATGTGCGTTCATGGACTGAATTATATGTGCGTTGGCGTTTCAGGAACTTTCCCATTTCCATCAGAGTAGTGCGAAGGGTCACTGTTGGCGACTTTGATTTATTCAGCCTTGCCGTCGGCCTCGTATTACAACTCACGATCTTTGACCCGCCCGTTTGCTGCTGACCCACCTTGACGTATCCATGGTTGGCCGATGGCGGGCTTGCGTGGCCTTCGCCCTTTTTGCGGGCGCCGTAGTTTCAGTCGAGCCAGCGCACCTGTTGGCCTCCTCTCGTGTGAGTTTCTTTCGGCCGTGTGGGCGCATGGGTTATAGGCTGTTCAACGTGACCTTCAACCGAACCATCGCCTCTTTTGCTCGGACGTCGACTATCAGCCTCGCCTGCCCTATTGGCCCTGTCTGAGCTGATTCGAGCCATGTGAACAGCGCCAGGTAGGTGGGATGCAGGTCGACAGCAACACTCGATGTGGTCGAATCAGTTCGGACAGGGCTGACGTCGGTTAATAAGCCGGAAATGGTCATCCCCGACTTCTACCTCGTCACTTGTCGCCATACGACTGCCTAAGAGGGCTATAGAATGAGCTTCAAGGCGTAACCGGTTGAGTATTTCTCGCGACCTAGCCGGGGAAGGCGCATCCACCGCAGCTTATATCCCCAGTCACAATCGACAGGATAAAGGGCCCCTGGCTCAATGGCAGGGCGTTAGACTTAATAACACTCGGTGACCAAAGAAGGTGGATTCGAATCTCAGACCTCGCAAACCGGAGTTTGGTTAATCCTGGCTGACGACGGCTAGGAAGTCAAAAATGGTCATACCACTCTCTCCATCTTTGTCAGTGTCCCTCATTTCCACACTAAATATGGCTGATACCCTGATCTAAACGAATAGTCTCTAACAGCGAGGCGAAATTCGAACTAAGAATACGTCCGCTAACGAGGAACGCAGGTCAGACAGTTTTCTAAATGCAAATCCCCAATGCAATGAAATCAGGTCTGCTAATAGTGTTTACTTTTTACTGGAGGATTTTGTCAATGGGTTATTAACCTATATGGTTTTGGCATTTCTGGATTCATAGCAAGGTCCGATGCCGAGGTTCCAACGGTGGTCAGAGCCTATCTCAGCCGCTGGATTGCATCGTTGGTGCCCCCTCCAAAATTACGACGGACCGCTATTCCCAATCCGAATCGCACCTCTTCCAGTCTCTCGTCTGCCCTTTAGACTGCACACGGATCCGGACGACAGTATACCACCCAGCCACCTGCAGCCGCCTGATCGACCGGTTCGGACAAACGCGGTTCCACACAGTCGCAGCTGCCTTCGACAAATGCAGTATGACAGTTCGACCGTCGATGTCGACTATGTCCACCATGCGCTCCAGAGCAAGGTGAAGCAGACACCGTGACTTGCGCGTGAAATAGTTTATAGTGAGGGTCGATTTGCGCAGCATCTACCGCACTCTCTCCTCATCACCTCGGCCCGTATCAAGACATAGTCAAGAAGACCGTAGGTGGGGGAGGACGTGGGTGACTGGCACGGCCGGACCCACACCTAGGCGTACCACCATACCCCTTGGCCCAAAGCAAACACTCGACCAAGGTTTTAACTAACGGCAACAGCACTACAACGATTCAGAAAGACGCGGATGACTGAACACCATGTTCAAGGCCTGTATGGCCAGCGGGGGCGTAAGCGCATCTACCGGTGGGGAACCCGCTGACGGAAAACTGCCGGCGCACATCGGGCTGCGATGGCCATTGTTTGCTGAATCAGGGCATAGCAGATGCACACAATCCTCGTGGCCCGGAATGCAGCATAAGCCAGCAGACACGCCACCTCTTGGCAAACGCAACCTACACCAATTGGACAACACATGAGTTTGCTCCACGAACCTAGTTGAGTAGCTGCCACCACTTGCCTCACCCACTCTCTCTCTCAGACACGACCTACCACTGATATAAGCGAACAGGCGAGTTCCAGGTAGCAGTTCAGAAAATGAAGATGCGATCACTGGAACGAGAAATTTATTTGCCTGACGTTTCGGATTCTCACTCGAATCCATCATCAGAGACATTCGCAGATAAAGTTGATGGTGGCACCAGGAGTGCAGTATTTATAGCACGTGACTGCCGTGCTATAAATACTGCACTCCTGGTGCCACCATTACCTTTATCTGCGAATGTCTCTGATGATGGATTCGAGTGAGAATCCGAAACGTCAGGCAAATAAATTTCTTGTTCCAGTGATCGCATCTTCATCTTCTGAACGACCTACCACTGCCAGAACATGGCCTGGCCTCACCAGTGGCTATTGCCGCCCGTGAGGGCAACTCAGGATTCGGTATATACTGAAAGCCATCGTTCTGGTGCCTTTGCTTTTCCCTTGGGACCAGCGACTTGGCCTGGTGATTGTGACGTTCGAAAGCCCAACCACCATCTTCGGCAGCAACCAATTGGTTATCCCGATGTGATACGAACATGCTACTGCCAGAAGTAGCTTTACACATTCATCAAGAAATTCCTACTCGAGTTCACCTTGCTGTTTTCCCTGTGCTACTCATCGTGGCTACGAATAGGAAAACGGGGTTGTCGACGCCCCGTCATGAATCGACATGGGTTTTATCGACAAAACTCAGCCGTACAAATCCAGATCATACGCCGATCAATGTTTTTCGAGCAACCGTCCCAATGTGATGCTGTCAGAACAGATCTCATCCCTGCCCCAGACATTCCTCCGTCCATTTCCAACGAATCCATTGTTCGTGTGTTATTCTCATACACTCAGCATGCTACTGGACAAACGACTATGAAGCTCCACTTCAATCCAATTTTTCGCGCATGGATGACAGTGAACCTATTTCACTATGCATTCGTCTGACTCAGCACTCACTGGATGCATTGTGCCCGATATGTCCTTTTCTCTCATACCAACTTGTCAACTCATCGGCACGCTGACGGGACCACGCCAGCACATCCGTGGCCCATGCCACAGCTGAGCTTCTGCAAATGTCGCAGCATCAACCTTGAACGCTGCCCGAACAACGCCTGTCATCATCAGCACACGCCCTCAAATCCGCATGTTCAATGGACCAGTCCATTCGTTTGCTTCAAGATCGATGTCATTATTTCCTTCCGTGTCTAGTTGGAGCTTTTGCCGACAGCTGTTGCCTAAGCCTAAATGTTTCCCTTTAACGGTCCGATACCTTTTCAGTATCTACGCCTGTTGTTTTAGCGCAATCGGAGCAAAATCGCAAACACACTTGCGCTTTCGATGCATATGCTTGGCAATCGGGCCCTCGAACTATTGAACGTTAGTTTTACCTGCTAACTGACTTTTCTTCTGACAACCACAGTCAGCCAAGTGCGCATCATTGGTGGTTTCGAGCTTGGGCCACTCATAACTTAAAAGAGTAGGGTTTGGTCCTGCAGTCGCACTTGAGAGTATCATACTGCCAACCTACTGAAGTATATTTGAGTAGGCGAGAGTACGACAAAATAGCGTCAATGGCAGCGCTGAGACGGAGTGCACACTGACATGGCTTCCAGTGGACCATGCAGTCACTTTCCTACCTAATCCAGCGAGTCGTTAGGCTGCGCGCGTCAACGGCTCTACTCCTTTCCGATCCCACTTCAGTGAGTGTGTACGGCCAGGCTACGTCAGCGGAGGTGCTTCAACAGGGCTCTCCGTTCGCGTTGTCCTTACGAAGAATGCTATTGACGTATTCAATAAAATTTCACTAATAAATTACACATACCACACAATCCCTCGGGGCGCAGTGGGTCGGGCTTGCATAAGGCGCGGTATATCAATTTACATGTGCTTCTTTTCTGCTTTTCTAACTTTTATTATCAGTATTATAGATTAGCTTGCCAGACCGTTTACTGAGACGTTTGCGGCACTGCTTGTTGACCGTCATTAACTGGATGCGATTCTGCTACGTGCCTTAGGAATTTTTCCTCCAATTTGCTTCATCTCATTCAGGAGTGTTTTCGTGCGCACAACTCGCCAAACGCTGCACTATTCCACTGCTGTGGTGTGGTTTATGCCGACGGAAGTCGCAAACCTATTGACTCTAGTTCCTTCGAGAAAGGCCAGGCGGGTTTACACTACTTTCTTTGATTTCAGCCTGCTTTTGTCAAACACCGTCGAAGTTCAACTAGGTACCTAAGTTTTCTATGAAAATAGGAGGTCTAGAGTAAAAATAGTTCTTTTATCGCAATCCCAATCGTTCATATGAATCCATTTGAAACTTTCTTGGGTTGTGGCCAGTTCAGGTCGTGCTCAGTCTTCCTACTGCGCTCATTCAAGAATCTGCAAAATAGGCCCATATTCGCAACTTAGTAATATTTATTCTGTATCGAGAGCATCTAAAACCATGCCCACTTGGGTATGCTGACACTTAAACATATATTCACCGTATGCTGTCATAATACTGCGTACGGTGAGGCGAATTGATTGCCCCCTGTATTTCGGTAAATTCAGCGCCCCTCCCGCCTTCTTCGTGGTTTGCTCGCTTACGGTCTGCAAATGAAATAAGTAAAAATATTTATTCATCTGAATTGTATACAGCCGCCTTTAAAACCCCAGAACTGCGCATTCATTTATCACTCTCCGTTTCGTTCAACAACTGACTTCACGGTTTCATGGGCTACTACCTCATTGTGAGTAGCTCTCTTCTAAATTAAAAATTCCACGACACACTTGCGTTACTTCAAATATGTTACTGCTTCCCGTGGCCATTTCTTCGCTTTGTTCTGCGCCCCTGTTTCGATCACGCATCATTTTCTTTGAACATTTTGCAGAGCGAACTTTGCAATGTGTTCGCATTTCCCATGGGTTGGAGGCTTTCCCGTTGCATTTTTTCCTCGTTCTATACAATCCAGCGGCTTCCGCAAACTGTTCTACACACAGCTTTTAATTTTTTATCACTCATTCAAATTTTACTTCTTTTAAACTACCTTTGCTGGCGTAGATATGACTCCCTTTGCCTTCCTACATTTCCGCCTTTCCCTTGGCCTGCCCTAAGGCCTCATACATGAAACCCCTATTACCCCCATTCCCGCATTACGGGCGCCCATGGTTCCTCCTACCGCCAGTGGGGCTGCTGGACTAAACCGGCAGAGGGTTAGACGAAAAAGACTAATATTCGGTTGGGCACGGGAATATAGACCCCGCCCGTATTACAAGTGGTCTCTCCCAACATTTAATGAAGCTTGGAGCCCTAGATAGCGTCGGGGTCAGGACTAAGTTTATGGTTAGGGCTAAGACCACGACTAGGAGAAATTACACTTGCTCATTCGACGCACCCTTGTGGCCTTCTTCGATAATCCCCCAAGTTTCTAAAACTTCCTGCAATTTGAAAGGTTAATTTGGCAAACAGCTGTTTTTTCGTTAACTCATCATTAGGCCAAAACAGTTGCATAAAAATTGAAAATATGTGAATTTCACAGGGTTTATAAGTGATTTATGGGTTATTACTACTCCTCATTCACACACCACCCGCATAGCGAAGCGTGTTACGGCGTTGTCAGCGTGTTATGCTCATTGGAAGGAGGGGGAGGGTGACATAGGCTGTGAGTGATGTTTGTAAGTCGGGTACGTTGAGCAGACATCATTGCCATCAGGAGGTGGTGACGGCATGTAATCATCATCTGGGATCGGCGTTGGCCACGGAAGACAGAGCGCCTATGTCAACGTCTTCTGACAACATAGCACTAGATTGGCTGGCCGTATAGCCACTGCCTCGGCTGTAATTAGCACTCGTTGGCGTAGGCCTTCGGAGAAGCTTGCTAGTGTCCGATAGACAACCTGAAAGGCTTCTTTGGCATCGACTGGGTGATTCGCATCGACAAAATGTGCGAGAATAGAACTCGAAGTCGATTTGTTCTCGCCTCTGCCTAGCCAGGTCGCTATGTGTTCACGTACTCTTTTTTCCAGACGCTTCGTTGTACGGCCACTGTATTCCGCTCCACAGGAGCAAATAAATGAGTAAATACACAATTTATAAACTTCAATTTATTCCAATTTTTAAGTCCGGACATGATGGAACTACCCATTGACGGACTGGTCTGGATCAAGATTCGTTGGGATGCGTCGGGCATGTTCCTATTTCTTATTCCGACGTGCTGACTTATCGCACCTGATGAATAGATTACATCAGTACTCTTTTTGACTGCTGCTTCGAGTGCACCCCTGCAGATGTCTCAGTAATATCCTAGATAGCCAGCTCGATAAACTTTCATCACAGCCTGCATGTGCGCTTGCTCGCCTCATCGCTCGCTCCTCTAGCAGCCCCTTCGTTATGTCTGGTACATGAAGAGGAAGAAGGGAGAAGAAGGGGGAGGGAGAAAACGAAGAAGAAGAAGAAGAAGAAGAAGAAGAAGGAGGAGGAGGAGGAGGAGGAGGAGGAGGAGGAAGAAGAAGAAGAAGAAGATGAAGAAGAAGACGAGGACGAGGAGGAGGACGAGAGTTGAAAGCATTTCAGCTGGAGACTGGTTCTTCACTCCTAGCGCGTGTAATACAGGTAACCATTCGACCACCATGTTCGGCTGGACGAGGCATGCGGGCATTCGGCACGGGGGAAGACCAACCCCATGCACCCTGAAAATCAGGAATTATTCATTCAGTTCAATTAGTTGACAATGACTGACTGTCAGTCAGTATCACTCAGTATATTTGGAGTAAAGGACAGGGGCCCTTAAAACTCCATTTAAACGGCACGGGTATGCATGAAAAGTAATCAAGTTGCAGAATGCGTAGCATTAATGATAAAGCGTGCATGTTAAAAGATGCGGCATTTGAGAAATAACAGCGAAAAAATGTTCACTGCCTTCACACTGAAATTTTCATTTGTGTCAAGGTTAATGTACACAATAGGATCCGTCCAAATCACGTTATTAGTGTGTTTATTGTCATTGCAGCAACCTACTTGATGGGCTTTGGGGAGGTTGTATTGCTTTTTTATAGATGCTTATCCAGATGTTTCTTGAATGCACTAACGGTAGGGAAATTTACAACATACGTCAGTAAAGAATTCCAATGGCAAATGCCTCTCTGTGACAGAAAGGAGGAGTGTTGGTTAAAGTGGCACAAGTCCCTTTTAAGCTGGCAACCGTGTTGTCTAAGATAAGTCTTTGGTGCTATTTCAAAAAGAGTTTCCAAGCTGAAATTCAGATGAAGTGCTCTTAGCAACCGAAACGTTGCTATAAGGTCACCTCTGTACCGCCCGTAGTGGAAGGAACATAAATTCAAGGCGGTCAGGCGCTGAATGTACGTGAAATTTTTGAAGTTCATGAACAGCCTTTGTAGCCCGTCGCTGTACGTCTTCGCGAATATCTATATCCTTCCGAAGCAACGGCCACCAAGCCTGTACCGCATACCCCAGCTGCGGCCGCACAAGTGCCCCATATAACTTGCCAAAGACATCTGTATTCAGGTTAATAAACTTTCTGCGTATCGTGCTCATGACTGACATTGCCCGCTCTGCGACTTCATAACACTGAGTGATGACGCTTAGGCCGTCTTTAATGGGTACGCAAAGATTTTCTTGCACATCTACGGTTTCAAGTGGTTGATTGTCCAGGCGATGCTGTCGTCAGAGTGCATTTGTTCTTCACCTTGCTGATACAATGTGCATTACCACATATTTTTGACAGTGAATTTCATGCACCAGTTCTCGTTCCATGCGGACAGATTTACTACGTCCTCTTAGAGTATCTAAAAGTATTTTGCATCTTTCATCACCCTCCGAATTTTAAGATCGTCTGCAAAGAGCGTTGTGTTAGATTTTTCTTCCCGTACTAGATCATTTCCATAGATTACGAATATGAACAACCCATAAACATACCCTTGTGGGACTCTATCTTTAGCAGGCGCCCATTCTTAATAGTAACTTTCCACAGTTTAAGAAATCTTAAATCCGGTGCAGGAAATTTTCTCTTATGCCTACGTCTGTCAACTGTAGAACGAGGCGACTATGTGAAACATAATCAAACGCCTTTCCGAAGTCAAAGTAAATGACATCTACCGTGTGTCTGTCATCCATGGCTTTTGACTAACATTCGAGCGACGTAAATATATTTTTGAGGCAGGGCTCTTTCCACAGAAACCGTGTTGAACTGATCAGGGCAGCGGAATGTATCGTGAGATGCAATTCATTTTTAATTATCCTTTCTACCAGACTACAGCAAATACATATCAGACTGACCGGTTGGTAGTTGGTGGAATATGACCGTGATTCTCCCGTATGGATGGGTATGACATTTGCCAACTTCCATGTATCAGGAATTTTATCAGCTTCCACAGATTTTTGGAGGATTGCACAGAGTGGTCCTGCCAATTCATCAGCAAGTTGCCGTAGGAGTACACCTGGGATCTAATCTGGTCCAGGCGACATTGCCGAATCCAACTTATTTAACTCAGCTAAAACAAGCTTGAATGTGGAGTATACTGTGTTTACAAATGGTTTGTTAACGGGCTATGGCAGAGAAAAGGGCTGGAGGGATACTTCCGCGATAGACATTGGAAAATTTTTAAAAGAAACTCGGCTTTTTGAAAGCTATTGCTCATATTTTGGTTATATTTTTGTCTTTTAAGGCTTCGAGATGGTTATTGTTTTTTTCATTGCTCCTGGTGTATGCATAGAATGCCTTAGGTTTTTCCTGTGTCTCTTTCGGGAGCTTCATCTTATAAGCAGCACGTACTTCACGGAGGAGTCTTTTGAAGAAGTTGTGTTGTTTTCCAAATTCTTGAAGGTTTTCTGGTCTTCTCGTTTGCAAGATTTTCTTTCTTAACCGCTTTTTCAGCCATTTCTGTCTGTTTCTGGACAATATCGTTTAGTCGAGTCTCTCATTGTTAATTCGAAGGTCCTCCAACATTCGTTAGCATCTTCTTGTAGTACGTGCGTCCATAGGGTGTACTCGCTCTCCGAGTTAATTGCTCAAGGTCACCCCACCAAACCTTTTTAACGACGTTGAGCTTCGTTCGAGGACAACTACGGGTGATGATTCTCATATTAATGTCATGTGATTACAAGAACCTAGGGGCGAGCCTACAGTTATTTTATCATCACTTTCCTCACCCTTGGTAAATAGTCGATCCAGACAATTGGACCTCTGACCTTCACGCATTCGAGTCACCGTTCGTATACGTCGAAATACGAATTCATAAAGTGCCCTGTTCAACAGCATTTAGTGGAATCCTCGTCTGTGACTCTCGGTTTTCACAAGGTTCCGGTTAATCCGCGGAACATTGAAATCTTCCACAATAGTGATGTTTTGCTCTCGACTGTACTCGCGGAGTCGAGTTATTAATGCTTGATCGTCGTTGACTGCGTCGGCTATTCCACACCAAACCTAGAAGGAAACAACAGCCGGGATATCCGTAATGACGTCTCTGCACGTAGGAATAAGCCACGAGGCACTCGAGTCGATGGCAGTAAATGCCATGTCATAAGGAGCATGCCTATGTCTGCTTCCGACACCCGAAAGGACACAATACACCATGGTATAGAAATATTACATCAATATCTCAAATCCCTCTTAACATGGGACTAGAAATTCACAATAATCAAGGCTTTCAAGGTGGGCAGACTTTGGCCGAACGAGACCGCTAAAAAAGTCTTTCAGAATGAGAAACAAGCCCAATTACTTTTGAGCAGGAAATATACGCTTCTTAATGCCCACCCAGCAGTTTTTTCAGCGAATTTTTTCACCCACAAATAGAGATATATTGAGAGGTCTCGAAGCGCAACTCCTTAGAAGATCCAACCTTGGCGAGAGCAATCTCAAAATACCGGACGGATAAATTATACAGATCCGAAAGTCATTTCACGGGCGAAAGTCTTTAATTCTAGCAGTTTAAGCGTGATAGGCACCAGTTTGGCAGGCTTTAGCGCTAAATCCCCAAAATGGACAGACGTCTGTTCATCGGGCTTATTCAGACCAAATGATGATTTTTGTATACTAATGTCAAAATTCTCGTTTCCAAAGTTAACGAAATCAAGGCGCTACTTTCGGAACTAAACGCCGATATCTTTACTATGACGGAAAGGTGGCTTAAAGCTGAAGTCGTGGATGCCAAGACTTCAATACGAGGATACCAGGGCTTTCTCAGAAACCAGTAAAATAGAATCGGTGATGAGGTAGTCTTATAAGTAGGACATGAATCTCGGCACTTAAACGAGCGCACATCCTCACCACTTGAACATGAACGTCTGCATGCAGATCCATGAAGAGTAATTCATAAAACCTAGAATTCTTGACAGTTTACAGACTACCGAGCCTTCCGAGAGCACCTGACGATCCGCGCCTCTCAGGAAGTATCTAGCCACCAAGAAGTTGTTGCTACTGGACGATTCGATGTACATGCAATGGATGGGGAAAATCTGGTAGTTTACGGTGCGCGAACGTCTTTCAGTTGTAAGAGACAAACCCACTAGTTGGGCACAGCGAGTAGGCTATCCAGGATACGAAAATAGCAGTGTCCCAACAGTTACAAACTAGTAAATAAGAACAAAGTCGTCGGCAGGTAAAAGTGCACGTGCGTGTTGTTTGTCTTATTCAAAGTTGTATCGAAGCGTATTGTAACTGATTAAAACAAAACAGACTTAAATGTCACTACACAGTTTTAAGCTAATGTACCTCACACCCGTCCTTCCTTTAACAAAGAAGGAAAAGACACCAACGAGATTTATGGAGAACCAGAGAGCCAATTATTTGTGTGTAGTTTTTAAGCAGGAATTCCCTAACATTGACGAAGTATGTTCCAGTGCACATCTCCGTATGCACAACCATGCTATCCTAGATTGGGATTGCTTACTTTGTTCCCAACGCCAGCAGAGAACTGAAGACCAGCAAAATATGTGGAAGGAGGATTTAACATGATGAAGAGTGAATCGATGTCCTTGAGTTGGGACTGTCTGTTTGAAGGGTATCTAGGGGACGACTGAAGATCGTTTTATATGACTTCATTAGATCTAATTCGGCACAGTTGTGCAGTGAAGGTACAGGAAACGACGTGTCACCCTCCATAGTTAACAAGATAATTTAACATCCAGTTAAGGAAGAAAAATAAAAAGTGGAAGATGTTCTGGGGAACTGGATCAACAGAACACCTCGAGGAATTCCGATGCCACGGAACAGCCGTCAAAAAAGAGTCCGTTAGGAGGCGAAGGATTTGGAATCCAAAATTGTCTGACAGGCTGTACTTAGGCCAAAAATTTCGCTTCATTGTTTAAACAGTCTCCTAAACAAAAGGACCAACTCGCTGTACGGAAGGATGTTAATGGTTTAAAAGTCATTGAAAACGGCGAGGAAGCCGAACACGCAGCCTGGTTCGTTGCCTCGGCATTCACCAGGGAAACTGAGTCTCAAATTCATAATGTCAGCAGCGCTGTCGCGAACGCCGGTGTCTCGCTTATGCCTATTGTGTTCCCGGTATATGTCGTGAAAATTGGGCTGCAGAATCTCATATAGACTAAGTTCTTAAGAGAATTGGCGAACGAACTCTCCAAACCACTATCGCATGCCTTCTGTTCATCATTCTTATCAAAGAGACTGCCACATGAATGAAAGACAACAAATATTTGCCCAATATACAAGGACGGGGTCGAACAAATGCCAACACTAATCTGTCCATTAGCCTGAACTGTGGCTACCGTAAAATAATGGGAATCATATTTAAGCAGGCAACGGCAAATTGCCTGGTGGAGATTCATTTACTGTCAGTGTATCAGCACGGCTTCAGGCAGAACCACTTTTGTCTTTCAAGTTTATTGCTCTCGATCTATTAATGGACTCGCGCACTGGAAGACGATGGTAGGGTTGTGGTCATCTACTGACTACAAGAAGGCTTTCAACAGCGTTCAACACAAACGCCTAATCCATAAACTATCTGAAATTGGAATAAGTGGAAGGCTGCTGATATGGATAGCAAATTTTCTTACAGGCAGATCACAAACCGTGTGCAGTGATGCCTTGAATTTATGCCATATCTCCGATCTAACGGATGTTCCCTAAGATTTAGTCTTAGGGCGTTGCTCTTCCTAGTCTGCATCAACAACGGTATCAAAAATCTGACTTGCAGCGCCGTCATGTTTGCTGATCATCGTAAGTTGCAGTAAGTTGCAAAGAGCCATCAGGTCTGTCGCATACAGACACGCACTTCAAGGGATTCTCAGCCAACTAAGCTCGCAATATGTAAATGTTTACTGTTTTAGTGTTTAGTGTTTTAATGTTTTTCTCGGCTTGAGAGTTGCGAAAATTCCCATTGTAAAATTCAAAAGGCAATTTGGAGAGCATACGTCTGCTTTCGATAAACTCTTTTCAGGTCTGTACATTTATATGGCTATTGAAGTAATGGATTAAAAGATACGGGCAAGTAGATAATTAAGCTGTAGCTCGGGTTTGGAGAGGGGAGGGGAGGGGAGGGGGAGAGTGAAAACAAACACCACAATTCCAGTCAGCGCCCGGAAGAAGATGGGTCCCGGCGAAGGTAATTACATGCGGGTGGTTGTCTTGGTAGCTTTAATTCATGGTAACTGTACGAAGTTCTTCTGTGCGCATAGGACCGGTCGACGTAGCCTGATTGCAGCCGCCTCTGCCGTAGCCAACAAGCGCTGCCCAAGCAGTTTTGGATAGCTTGATGGGACCTTGTAAATCACTCTGAAGGCCTCTTTGGAGTCTAAACGGTGGTCTGTGTCTACCATGTGCGCGAGAATCGACCTATTGATATTCTTTATTTGTCCCTTTCCTAACCACGCTGGGAGATGTTCTTTCATTCTTTTGGATAACCGCCGGCTCGTGCGACCAATATATTCTGCCCCACAGGAGCAGGTGAACGAGTAAATACACATAGAAGTTATCTGAGCTGGTAGTTTGTCCTTGCCCTCTCTGTATATCGGTATACCAAAGAACCTAACGGTTCATTTTTCCCGTTCAGATTTTACAGTTGTTTGCTCCGAACAGACTTCTAAGCAAAATATCTTCACAGTTTTTTTACGAATAACGTCAAAATCCGGTTTACATTTGCAGTGTTCCCGGAAAGCTTAACAATAAAACAATGATTAACATAATTGCAACAACTCAGTGTCAGTATGAATTAGTCCCATACCTCCACAGTACCCTCGCCTCTGATAAACTAGAGCGTAACCATGCGCAAATAATCCTATGTGGGAACCTCATATCTATTCAAACAGTCAGTTTAAAAATCTGTTAATTAAGTGTCGTTGGACGTTCGTTTACATCTCACACTTGTTTTACACGTCCATTCCGAATTGACCTTGATGCAGTTCGGCCTTTAAAGTCGCTACAGCTTAGTAACGCCAGCATTTGAAAATGGTTTGTCATTAATTGTTCCGAACTCCCTTTAGCCGCAAAGCATAAAGTCGGCCTCCAATGCCGATGGCGCGTCCATCTGCTCGAAGCGCTCAAAATGTAGCACATACAGAAAATTGAATGATTGTTCCAGAGTGGATGAGAATCTGTTTGGAGAACCGGAAAAGTTAAAAATGCTACTGGTAACATCATTAAACGTATAATCGCACAAATGCAAAGAAAAGCGATCATTACCCGCGAGTTGATGGCCGGGGTGAAGATGTGCAAATCAACGTCTATCGTCACGGGGGATTACTGGGTTGTCCGCCAAAATTCGTGCACGGAAAACCAGAGAAACTAAAGGTTTACGCCAACGACTTTGTACGAGAGCTTGTGTATGAATTCGGATTTATTGCATACTGATTTGAATATTTAGTGTCCCTGGGGATAACATCAAGGAAAAAACGATTTTGCTCCCTTCCGGAGAGTTTAAAAGGATAAAGGACAAAGCAAAGTTTCTCACGCCCGAACAAATAAAAGAAGCCGAAAAAGAGGAAAAAGCCCTAAAAGAAAAGCAAATGGTTAGATTATTCGTTTATGGTCATGCTTTCATACCCTGTCTATTTGAAACTTTTTTAGAAGACAGAATCATTTTAGCAGTTTAGCACATCTATTTTTGAGAAATGGTATAAACACGTGTTCATTCGGAGACATTTCATGCCTTTTACTCAGTGGTCATTTATAGGAAGAGCATGATAAGGGTAAAATGGTTCTAAAATATAACAAAGTAGTCAGATGAAAGTGAGTAGTATTTGTTGTAGGACTCGACGGCTTATGAACTCCGGAAAAACATTTGAATGCTTAACAAAAACTTAAAGGTGGGATTAATGACAGGGTAGCCGACAGACGGGAAGGGCTGATAATTAGAAGGCTTAAAAGTTTAAAAACAAAAATGGGAGACATCGCAGCCAAAAAATTGAATTCGGGATAACGATGTTAGATGGAGAGGTGGAAATAGATTAACAGATAATGCATAGAAGGTAAATATACCGCAACAAGAAACACCACAACCAGCAAGCCTAATAATTTTTTTCTGAAAATGACACCATAAAAGTGTATAGTCGTTCGCACTATTGCAGCAATACTGAGACTAAAGTTATTTTTAAAGATGCTCCGTCAAACGCCGCCCAGTTTCTAAAGTATGCATGTTACGCAAATGAGAAATATGTTGAGTGAGAGCGCCTTTTATTTCTTTTACAAATCTATAGTTAAGTGAAATTCCAACTGCCATGGGAATTTGAAGAGGACGCCATAATATTAACATAGTTGATGTAAACATTGGCAGCAAAACGCGCCACACTTTAAAGTCTATCTGAACTCTTTGAAAACAGAAGTGGGTATATATTTCACTTCCTCGTACTGTTATCGAAAACGCAAATGCCAGGTGCACACCAAAGGCCATCGTCAACTTCTTGTGCTTTTGTTCATTCACGACATGCGCACAAGTACCTATGATGTCACATCTACAGAGCTGGCCAGAATTGGACCTAGCTTTTGGTTGGATCACTTAGTACTCTTCGAAAATATACTTATATAGATACGCAATGTGCGAATGAACTGTTTGGGCTTACAGCGGAACCTAGGCTCACCGCAAAACTACTCCTTTTAAGTAAGAGTAATAATCTAGCTGTCGGTCGAACTTTAATAGGCGGATAGATCAAGACGTTGAACAGTCGAATTTTTAACTACATGATGGCTGAAACGACACCAATTAACGAATGATTATCGGCACTTGTTTGGTGTTAGTATCGGTAAGGGAAAAGGGGAAGATATTGCGAAGCGTGCGTTGGAGACCGCACTTATTTTCTGTTCTATGGTAAGATTGGACTTACCTAGCCGTGTTTCGAGACTGGGCTTTAACATATGAGGGTCCGAAGCAAGTGGGGTGATCGACATGCCAAGGTTGGAAGAAAACTATAAACCTTTTTAAATAGCTTTTTCAAAACGATAATGTGCTTGCTCATTCAGGCTATCGCACTCAGGATTTTTTTAATCCCCTTCGAAACCAAACACCCCAATAATCAGCGGAACTTTGCGAGTTCGTTTGTGCGTTTTAAGAGTACTTGCCGTCGATGACCACCAAAATACCGGAACTTTAGGCACTTGTCCAACTCAGACGCGTCATGGGAATGCTTCGGATATCACAACAATAAATAAATCTCTTACCTTGTAGAAACTGTAGAGAAGCGAACCGGGAGCGGGTCAAATAGATATTAGTAGTAGCAGGCGTTTTCTCATACTTTGAAGCATATCAGTCGAAACTAAAGAAAGTTAGAAATATTGATTTGATAAGAATCATTTTTGTGTGCAAGTTATGAACGCATGTTGGACAAAATAATTTAGAAATGACTGCAGCTAGTCGTCTACGTCTGTGCATTTGCCAACCTGATACCATAAATAGATTTGTATAATATCTAATCGATTTTATGCGAGCATTTGTTGTTGGCAGGGATTGTAAGTTTTAATGCGTGCTGACAAGACTGATTGACAGAATACCAATAATTACCCTTACTAGTCTTTGTCTTTGAAATCTGTTGAATTTGTCTTTATAACTGAACAAAGACGACTCCGTGTGGCTATTCTACCCAATAATAATGTTATTAATTTGTCACCCAAGCGGAAACCACTCTTCTTACGCATCATTTGTACCTTGATCGCGTGATTTTTAAGGGAAGTATTCATGTTTTTTGTAAGACGTCAGAAGGCATTAAGTGCCTGAACTATAATTTAGATGTCTTTACTACTTATTACCGCTCGTAGAACAGACGTAAGCTGGATTAGCGATGCGGCTAAACTCATCCTCGCAGCCAAGTTGGAGGTCAGGTAAAGTTAGATTTAATGTTAGCTCATCTTATTCTCAAGAAAACGAAAGTGAACTGAGCGGATCCTCATTTAGACGTTTTTCTGGGCCACTCGAACTAACGTCCGTCCCGCATATAGCTATGTTTTAATATTCCTTCTTTGAAATCCACATTAGTCATTATTGTCATCTCATTCCTGCCTCACGAAAGTTATTAAACGTTAATTGGTTTATGAATTAGTAACCTGGCCTGAAAATCGACAATTTTGTCATTTTCATAGAGAACACAAAAGTGTAAAACTTTTCCGCTTGTTTGGTATTATTCCTATACATTGTAATTCCTGGTCTCAGATGGAATCTGCTGACAGAAAGTTTGAAATGAAGAAACTTGATATTGCCCGAAGGGTTAACGAACGTCTCAATGACCTCGAGGAGGAAGCAAAGCAAAAGGCGCAGTACCTACTGACAAAAGCAATGGAGCAGAGGCAGGAGGAAGAAGATGAGATAAAAATGTTGAATGAACAGATAATGAACGCCAAAATTCAGGCTATCCGAGATGCTCAGGTGCTAGAAAAGATGCAAATAGAAAAGGAAATAAACGATGAAAATCAAAGACTGGACAATATGATGGAAATGGAACGTCAGAAAGGAATAAAAATGCAAGAAGAAATCGATCGGAGGAAACGAGAAGAAGTGAGTCATCTGGTACTGTTGACAAAATCCACTTACAGACTAAGAGCATTTTGATTAAACCACTTTCATAAATTAATTTTCGCCTTTTGTTTTTTTTCTACCTGAACGATCCAGTTATCCGGAGAATAGTATCTGCATGTGTAGAAAGTAAATAACTTCATGGGTGGCATTCTTATGTACCTTCGCTACCGGAAAAGGTTTATCTTTTAGGAAATGCTTGGTGCGTGTGAAATTATGAAACAAATAAACCAAAACCAGCAAGATCGTTTGCTTCAACTTGAACGACTAGAACAAGAAAATGCCGAAGCCAGACGAAAGATGGCGGCCGATATGCTCGAAGAGCTGGATCGTCGAGCAAAAAAACGTGCAGAACAGGACAGACTACGTGAGGAGCTCAACCGATCTAATCAGCAGATGATCGAAATGCGTCTGAAGGAGAAGGAGCAGGATCGTCTATTCGACTTGAAAATCTTAAAGGAACAGCAAGACAAAGCGGTTAGTGCAATATCCAAACAAATTCTAAGTGAAATTATTTGACAGAAGAAAAATTATTAAGGTTATGCAATATATGTAAAGTAGTTTCTCACACCGCATACGCAGGTACGATTCCCAGAGTACTCAAGATTGTTTTCAGAATGCTAATAACTGTTATATTGAACACCCGTATTGGCTTTATTAATAAAATGTTGTTGGAGTGACCATTGGACAGGTAAAACGCGAAACCGATTTGTCAGAAGAGTAATTCGTATGTAATTGAAATTCTCTGAAGTTCACAACGATTAAATTCATAGCACTTAAGCGAAAAGTCCGCCTGGGATAGCATATTTTTCATTTCCGAAATGACCGGTGGAAATGAAAGAGGTGCTCGAATGTGTATTCTGTTGCCCCGCTCAAGACCTTATCCCTGGTTACAATAACAGTTTTGCTATCATAAACGATGACGTCCACCGCAATACATACGTGTTATGTTGGAAGTGCTTTAACCGATAGGGTCAGGGGACATCCTCGTCCCATCGTACCTTGAGGCTCACATAGAGTCCTTGCAGACAGTCGGACGGCGACCAGTAATATATGCAGAAGGGTGTCTGAAAGTGTTTTTGCAAGTTTTTGGAGCGATCGACGATGCCATGCCTCTACTTGTAGCGATTACAACTAGGTCCTTAACTGGCTGCGGATTTTTCATTCAACTGTACATATATGTGTCGCACGATGAAACTTCCATCAAATGAACGAAATTTACCCAAAATTTCTTCTCATGAGACGAACTTGGAATACACATAATGAGGAAAGCTTGTGCACAGAAGCTATCTTGAGTCCTGTCGGCAAGCAGTTACGGCAGCAACATTAACTCAAAAATAGTTAAAACGGAAGCCTACTTAACCCCATTTAAATCCAAACCTCTACCCACCAAGGTTTTGAAACCTTGAGTTTTCAACAGAGTTTGACTTTGCTATCGGCAGGATTGCTAAGGAACATGAGCCTACCAAGAACTGCCACTGGGTGTCTACATGGAACTGCTTTTTTATGCATTTGCACACTTATGCAGGCCCGCGAAGCAGCCTATGAGGCAGAACAGGAACGAATCCGACTGGAGAAGGAAATGGAAATAGCGAGACTGCGGAGCCTGCAAGAGAAAGCCAGCGACGAGGCAGCAGAACGTGACGCCCTTCGAGCTAAACGAGCTCAGGAGGAGGCAGAACGGCAGTTTCGTAGGAAAGAACTAGAGGCCGCAAGGAAACTGGCCGCGGAGAAAGAGGAGATGAACCGCGAACGACTTACCCAGGCAGAGAACAAGAAACGACTTCTGGCAATGGAAGTTAGTCGCGAGAGGGCCGAATTCGAGCGGATTCTCCGGTAAGGCGTTCGTGGATGACGATATGTGCCTTTCCGCATGCTGGTCTGTTTTAGGGAATGGCTTTTGCCTAGCCTGAGTAAAAACCGGATTTGACCTGTGCGAACGCAGTGTGTACGTGGCGAGTGGCGGACTGGTGGGCTGAGAGTCAGACTGCGGTAGCTCCTTGTTACTGTAACTTTTATAACCCTCCAGCTCAGTTGGCATCCGAACCGTCCCCTTCTCCGGTTGTATGAAATCCTGGTATTTCGTGTGTGAACAGAAGATGCGGTGGCACACACAGGTTCACACCGTGCCCGCCACCTGCGCCCTCAGCCGTCCCGGTCACATACGCACGATGATGACGTTCTTGAAGTCTTGGGGGATGTGTTCTCGTAGCCGCATCTCATATAACAGCAACATCAGTTTTTCCATGAGTCCTGCGTCGCCGTAATTGTAAATCTTATTTGAAATTGTTTTGGCTTCTGGTGCTTTTCCAGTGAATAGCCGTCACATTTCTCGGATAATCTCAGGGTGGTAGGGTGGACGGATGAGACCGACATTGGTGTTTGTTATTGGATGTCGGGTGATGACTCCGTCGAAGATTGTGGACGGGTTGCTTAGGACGCCCTGAAAGCGCATGACTCTGTGCTCCAGAATTTGCGACTTCCCCATCAGCAAGGCTGTTCATGGCGGGTGAGGAGCAGCGCGACACCTTTGGTTCGAAAATCGCAGAAGACCCTGACGGCCGCGAAGAAATTTTTCATCCTTCTGCGGTCAGCATATCCTTCGATTTCTTCAGCTTTTAGAGTCAACCGATCGTTCTGCATCTCCCTTGGCCTCTGCTGTACTAGAATTCGGCATCGAAAACATGCCGCCTTGTTAACATTGCTGCTGTTGATGGTGTGGGTTGTTTGTAGTCTCTTATTCTGTTATGGCAGCCTAAGTCACCGCAGGCCCTAGCCACAACGACCTTCAGTCGGTGTCCCGAAGAGGATGAGAAGTTTGACGTCAATAGAGAGAGCATAGTATTCTGCACTAAGTGAATGAAGAAGAGGTTGGAGCAAGTTGATATCCAAACGAGGGCACACGTCCGAATGTCACCGAGGCAGGCGTCAAAGCGCCTCGAGAGCGTGCATGCCTGAGTCGGCTTCGAATTTGACTGATTGGTTTAGGTAGCCGTGATTGGTCGGGAACCGGACTGTCAACGTTATGCGTGTGCAAATGCGCGAGAGAAGTACAGTGTTGTAGGATATTTCAGGATTTCTTCGTTATTCTCATAAAACCAGTCCTGGTGCCGTCGAGGTGAGCGACCAAGGGCCTTAATGGCGGTGGTCTATATTATACCCAGCACCTCCCCCCACCGGGTCTTCCTCTCTCAGCATTGGCACTCACCTCCAGGGTTTACAATTGTTCCTGCTTAGAATTTATGCAGTCGCTAAAATTCAATCAGCGTTCAGCAGTATCAAACAATTCAGCATTTGACTTTCCTGATGTTGCCTAACTTTGCTGTCGTCTGTGCGGTTTCAAATGAAGTTCCATCTTGGAGATGATAAGGTGCCAGTCCGCCCTGACTTATATACCATAAATCGCCTTGCTCGCTTGCACATCTCACTGGTTGGGCCCCCCTCCCCCAAAAAAACGTGGACATGGTCCAGCAGATGCCAATGACGCGAGCACGTCAGAATGCGGAAGGTGTTGGCTAGGAGGAAGGCATTTTCCGTGCAGGTCAACAGGAGGAAAAGTCTATTGATGTTGCAGCTGCCTATCTCGTTATAACCGAGCACTTTCCTGCAGGTAGCATCTTCCTTGCTGAGGCTGACCTTGAATTTACCAAGATCCGTAACTTGTTTCGTCTTCGGTGCAATTGCCGCGGATGTTTGCAGGTCGTCGTAGAATATGTTCTCCACATTTTCAGCCACACAAACCCGCTTTTATGCAGTTGTCATGGCTACTATTTCTGTGGTTGATTCATAACTTGCACCTTCACGTCACCGTAAAGCTTTCTGAAGATTGGCCTGAGCCCCTCGGGGCATCCGGTTCGCGGTGGTGAGGATCTTTTTCAAAATTCTAAGGAAAATGTGGAAATAATCCTTATTTACTGGATTTTTATCCACACTCAACACTTCTTGAATAGCATGCCGGTTGTTTCTGGACGACTCTGAAAGCTACGCCGAGTCTCTGGGAGGATTCCATGTTTCAGGTATACAGTCAATTTGTTCAACTGGGAGATGAGAACTCCCTTGACTGCTGCATAGTTGTTGATTCCTTACTCGGTTGGCGTGGGCAATGATAGTCTGCTTGAAATATTATGGAATCTCACCTTGTTTCCACATTTGCAGTGGTAAGGTTATTATACCTAAAAGTTGGAACCTTCCGTTGGAACTAAGTCGGCGCCCTGGGACTCCCTGTTCTGGTTCTCTACCGTAGGGGTAATGGATGCTCATATTCAATATTTATTTCTGCCTGGAAAGTGTGTTAACGACCGCCCCACAGACTGGAGAGGAACACTTGAGAACACACCTGAAGGGGTCGGTCGAGCGCCTCAAGATTGATTACCCTGACTGCGGGGTGGCTCTGATTTGGGCAGCGGAGCAGTCGCAGTTGTTACCGTTCTTAGATTGTCTTGATGGTTGTGAGGAAACCGTTCACATTGCCGGATTCCTTTTGCCCTCCCAGCTATCCGATTATTTTCCATTTCGGCATTTGCTGTTTTAATACTGCAATCGGCTCGGGGAGAGTGTCTAATTGTTTGTGCTGGTGCTTTTGTACATGTTGACCCTGTGAACGTGTTTCATCCTAAAGAATATGTGCTGGATATCTGCATCACTGTAGTCAAACAAGTCCCATTGTGACCCAAGAAAATTAGTGGCAGTGCTGTGGGTAGCGCGTTCAGTCTGCTTCACGCGTTTACAGCATTTGCACTCTCCAGAGCTTGCATATACCCGAGGTTGGCGTTTCTGCGGGCAAGATTTCCCCTGAGCACGGAGGAGCCCAGTACTATGATGTTCGCCTTCCCCGACGTCTTCCCCTGAAGTCGTCTTTGGTATTGGATTCGTAACCTCGTCTTTGAGGTTATTGGACGATAGCTGGTCGTGCATTTGAAACCGCACGTTGCCTTTGTTACAAGAACTTCACAACGGTCTCCTGCTGACAAGCATTAGTCAGGTAGCTCCTAGTGCCCTAGACGAGAGTGCATCGAAATGGTCTTTTTGTCGTCAGGAGGGCAAAAGGCGACGCTGGTGATGAACAATCGTGTTCTACGTTGCTCTTGAGATGCAGAGGTAGACTGCAGCCCCGATTTAGTGACGAACAAGCGCTCCCTCCCAGATTGTGCGACTCATGCATTATAATTACCAAGCACAAGCAGTCTGTTCGTTTTGGACACACATACGAGGAAAGAATTCGTATCGCCGTAGAACTTGTCCCTTTCATAGGGTAGACTCCGATAGTCGTGGCGAATTCCCTGCTAAGGTGCGGAAGCTGCATTGTAATGTGCCAGTCATTGAGTCGATGAGGGACAGGGGAAATTTTTCTTTTAATGTCATTTCGTATCATACTAGAAACCCCGACATACTCTGGGGCTTCTTTTAGACAGTCGCCCAGGAGAGATTGTGACCTGCCCTATTTAGTTCACTTTTCTTGCTCTGGAAAACGGGTCTCGACGTATGCGACTGTGCCTTTACTATAGCTGGGGAATTTGCGATTGATCAACACAGTTCGTCCCTTTGATCAGTTAACCACTGGGTTACCTAAAGATGGTTAAAAACTCCAGGCCGTCGAAGTGACCGATTTCGTTCTGACGAGAATGAGGAGGTGAATGAAACAAGTATTATGTCTTGTTTCGACAGCGATTTTCACGTCCAGAGGCATTGTTAAAAATGCAGTTTGCACCTACCAAGCTTAAATAAACAATAAGATCTCTTTCTTGTGATTAACTGACTCTGGTGTTTCGTATTCTATTTATTAAACATATTTTTGAATTAACCTTTTTACACAGCTTTGTAATGAGAATGACCTTTATATCGCACCTCCGTTTTGCTGTTAAAAGGGCTCAAAAAGAGATGATCAAAAAGGATAAAAGAGAAGCCGAATTAAGAAAACAAAATCAAATTAACTTCTGTAACGAAATCAAACGTCAGATCTGTGAGATGGAACAGGAGCGGATTGCCGAACGGAATGCATTCTTTGAAGAGGGTGTTCGAATGGAAGAAGAAGCACGCTTGCGTCGTCTAAGACTGGAAGATGCGAAGAATAGGAAGATGAACGAACTTAGGTTAGTTTTGTATACTTGTTTAAAGTTTTGTTTTTGGTGCATAGAGTCTGATTTCCCAACAAAACCTTCCCTGTAGCTTTGCTACTGCCTAGCAAACAAAAGTGTCTTCGTCGTTTATAGGCTTTTCAAATTTGAAATGGACAACTATTGTTTAAGATTGAGCTGGATAGGTGGTTGATGGTGCCTAAACCACTATTCGACTCGATTCTATTCCATCTCTCGATCTTCACTATCGTTGTGTATACTCAAAGGCCCGCAGTGCAAGCTTTCTGATCCGGAATCTTTGCAGTTTATTCTGTTATAAGAAACGCTGCATTCCGCTCAAGGAGGCTGGAAGTTGGACGATTTGGTTACAAGGGGCCACCACCACCACCACCACCACCACCACCACAAAAGTCAATGATCCGCCATTTTATTGGTGCAAGCTTGATAACCCGTCAGTCAGTGTGTGTGAATTTGGCTTTTCAACGAAAGCAGTCTTACGCGAGCGCCCACGTTCAATTTGAAGTCGCAGGTATTGCAGAGGCCCGCAGATCTGGCTTTCCATGATTATCCTGCGAATTGCCATCAGTCGGCCGCATCAACAGGGTAACCTGCCGTTTGCAAAGCCACCGACAGTTAAAAAGTGGTGAGAAGGAAACTTGCGGGTGGGCGAGCTGGAAAATTTTCACTGAAAAGTGCGCCATCACCTTCTTCGAATGGCCCGTTGCAGAATATTCCCAGTCGATGCTTTGGATGCAGCCTACCTCTTAATGTGCCCAGAGACATTCGTCGAACTTTGCCTGTCGACAGAGTTGGGATTGCCCTCCTACTCTTCTTGCTCCCCCACCCCCACCTCATCCGCCGTCTATCCCCCCCTTCTCATCGTCATCATCGCAAATCATCATGTTGTTACCTGATCAACCCCGTCCCCCTTTCAAACGAAGTTGCTAAACCTGGAAAAGTGCCAACAGTGCCCTTTTGGCACCGTGGAAACAACACATACAGTTTTTTCGACTAACGTAATAGCTTAATTATGTTTTCAGAACAGGAAATGTAAAACTGTGCTGCGCTGTGTGCGAAGTAATAGGGCCGTCATTATGCAGTGAAAGCCCCCCGTAGGGCTCCTATGGAATGCAGGCAAGAAGGCTTACAAAGTCTACTTTTCACCGGTGATAGATGTCGATTGAAACAAGCGCATAATGAATGACTGAAAAATACAAAGATATCGGTTCGCAGGTTTGCACCTGCTGGATGTTTTGGTAAGATGTGGTTTGGTAGCCCCACCTGATGGACACAATACTGTTGGGATTTGGGTTAAGGGTTATTGTTAGTGATTAAAGTTAGGGGTTAGGGTTAGGGGTTGGCGCAAGTATTTCTCGACCATTCAAAGTACGACCGCGCATTCCTAATAGCTTTTCTTTTGCATACGACTACTTCAACTCGTCGTCTGTGCGTCCCCCGACCCCACCTGTAAAAACCCCTATTACCACCGGTCCCGCATTAGAGGTAAGTGGGGTTTGTTTGCTTCAGGTGCGGCTACATAATCACATCTGACCGAGGTTTTACAGTAGATTTCCTTCCCATGGTATGGGATACGCCTCCGACTCTAAAGTTAATGAAACAAAATACCTGGCCTGGTTTTGGCAAGTGAACTGTCTTCTATCGTACAACAGCGAAAGCGTTGGAAGACTTACGTGATTATAGAAGTGACCGCGATTATCTCTTGCGAGTTTCCGTCTAGACTTGTGCGGTAACAATAGCATCGGATGGATTGCACATCCCTGATGAAGTGCGCAGAGCAACTGTCTCTGGCTAAATTCAAAACTAAATTCTACACATTCCATATTGTTAGGGCAGCCGAGCACCTGTTGGAATTCAATGGAGTCCTGCTGACAGACCAACGTGGACATCCGACAATGTTTTTTCGTGCAGCTCCACCCATAACCTTGTCACAAACTGCCCTCCATCGTCACACACCTTGGGCTCTCGTGCGAATCAAAAGGCCCGATCGCCTCCCTGTTCCATAACCCCTCGTGTCCACGCTTCCGTAGCCATTAGTACTTTCAAATCCTGGACGTAGCGTATGGCTATAAATACGATGCCGTTGAGCAGGGAACCTAGTTGGTTGTTCCATCTCTATAAATTTGTGGAATAAGCTGGTTTGTACACTCAAATTGATCGCCTTGTCAAGCTAGTGTCTGCTGAGAAAACGCCAGACCAACCCTGTTCTCCTTGCCAGGAAACATGCAACTCAGGTCCTGATTTTATCTCCATACTCCTCGTGATGACCTCGGTTCAGGCTCTAGGTTGTTCATTTACAGGTGGTCTGGGAGGGGCTGCGGAAGGTAGTCAAAGGTGGCTCATCCGGCAGGCGACAAAGACCGCAAGCGAGCTGGCGACTAAGTCAATTTCCCTTCCCCCTTCATGGGCCAACTTATATAATCGTAGATGTACACTATCAGCACTATAATTGTACACTCTGAGCATAACATGAGAGCCGTTAATTTTTCGCTCTCACAGCACTTTCAAAAGTTGAAAGTAGTTTCCTTTACTGTGTCATTCCACTATGTTACTTATTTGTCTTGTCAACGGATTTTGGAATCTAAGTATCTTAAAGGAAGGATTTACGGTTTGTTTTACGTCGCTTTACTCTGATTCGTCTTGCGTGGTATTTGGACTTTCCGTGTTGGTGCCTTATCTACCTGGGGAGGGTTGTAAGGGGGCTTATTATTTATTTGAGGGTATAAAAAGTTGTGGACAAAAATATAACTGCCATCTAAATAATGGAAAGGGAGACCCCAAAGCAGGTCGAATTTAGTCATGTCGGTCCTACAGAGTGTTGTTTCCTGTTCACTTATCTGTGATTCTTGGTTACAAATTTCCCAGGAACTTAATGCTACCTATAGCTTTGAACGGAATTCAATGACTACACACGGTTATCGTCAGTGTTGTATAATCCATGAAGAATTCTGTGGCAGTTTTATGTGCCTCTCTCGACATTTTCAGATGATATTTTGGGTATTCTAACGCCTTTTTTCCTTTTATAATTTCTAGGAAAGCTGGTATCCCTGAAAAATACTTACTCCAGGTCGAACGGAAATGCGGCTTCAAAGCTTGAAGTGTCTCCATGGAGATGCTCTGTTTGACAAGAAACTGTTAATCCCGCTGTAAACCAACGACTGCTTAATTAAATTCACAGATATATAATGTGTCTCCTGTAATTTTAAGATTCCCTTAAAAGTAACTTGAACAGGAAAATTGTCTATCAGTGATTACAAATTCTGCATTTTTCTTACTTTTAAAGAGCCCACTTCTACCACTTAAGGAAAATTTTTTAATTGTGCTAACATCAACGTATTCAGCTATCACGTGCAACTTGCAGTAATGAGCAGCCCGAACTATTTGGTGATAAAGTGAAGAGTGCAAGCTACCTTCAATGGTGTCCGTAATGTTAATTAATCTTCTGAGCAGTTGTAAACTGGACTTGGAAACAGACGCCCGTGTTGGCTGCAGAACTCTGTCGAGAACCTCATGTGATAGTTTGGTCTCGGCGATATTTTGTTTCTATGGCTGACAACTGCCAGTTAAAAAAGCTTGGTACGATCACACTCATTCTCCGTTGAGGGTACTACGTCTCAGTTAGTAACTGCTAGTCTTTATGCGACAGCCTGTGAGAATAGCAGATCAGGGCGCCTTCCAGTCAAGAGTATTATCACATATTTAAAAATCCAAGTGTGTGAGCTTTCTTATAGTGAGAAATAGGCTGACTTGTCGTGAGTACAGACCCTTCGGTATCAGTGTCAATCTTTTCCATCTCTCATACACCGATTGCTTGCCCGAATCGGGTCGACTGGGAATGGGGTTGGTGGCAGTGTTTCACAAAGCCAGACGATCCGTATACGCGTGAAACACACGGCCGAGTCCTTACTGCACGCGAACCAGGCAACCCCATGTGGCACGCTCCTCAAGTAAATGAGATGGGTATATACGAACGTTGGCGAGTTAGGCAGCCTATGGCTTGCACGAATGTTTTCTACTATTCTGTTCATAGCTGTCCGTGTACGCATCCAGCCGAGTGACATACTGTTAACAAGAGTCCACTTGGGAATTGCGCTGGACCAACACGGGGGCCAGATCAGGGCACAGCGCGCTTTATTCAGGATGCGCTCCCATAAGAGATGTCACGCACAGGGAGGTGTTGACACGCCTAGGTGCCGGCTCACACCGCGTCAGCTACTTGCACCGAGTCTCCTCACGAGATGGCTAATCGCCTCGGAGAGTCGGCTGATGCCTGGAAAATGGGAGAGCGAGGTCGCCTCCGGGGACAACATCCACACGGCACACCGCGGTCCTCCTCTCCGGTCGTGTCGACTCTATTTTGACACTGGGTCCAGGTGAGTGAGAGAGGAGAGAATATGGTAGTTGCTGCGTAAGTCCCCTTCCCTGCGCTCACCATGCCGTCGTATAACAAAAGTGAGTTTGCCTGTGCTGGCAAAACGAAGTATTGTGGTGGGTCTGGATTGAACTGCTTTACTGGAGATTTTTGGGACTGAGTGGGCCCATACGTTAGCAGTATGTCGTGGGACAGTGTACGGGTAAGGCGTGAATGGCGGACGTATTTCGGGCCTCCGTCCACTGGGTTTTCAGTCGCACTGTCATATATTCTCAGGTAGCCGGCCCGACCGATGAGCGATCCAATGTGGGGTGGCAATAGAAGTAGGTTGGAATTGCGATCATATCACTAGTGAAAGGTTCGCCTAAAGGGCCTGTCAATAAGTGCCACGCACGATCTGGCCCCTCTCTGGGTGAACCAGGCTACAGTAAAGACGGCTTGGGTCCAACACTTTTGCAACGCGGTTTGTTGTGGTGGTCAAGGGCTACGTACAACAGTTCGACCGTCGATTTCGATTATGTACACCGTGTGGACCACAGTAGAGTGAGAGCAGGGACGGTAGCTGGCGGATGAATTAGTTTATAGTGAGAGTAGACTTGCGAAGAATCTGCCGCACT